AAAATTTGAACGATTTTTATTTTGATGATAATTATTATTATATCTACCTTGATTATCGTTTGCCTGCCAATTATTATATCTTCCCTGGTTATTATTTGGCTGCCAATTTTGGCTCGGCTGCCGATTGTTATTAGATTTATTAGATCCATTGGCTCGATAGCTTGTTGCTTATGATTACTATTTTGATTATTATTTTGCCAAAAATTTCCCTTTTGTGGCCAATTGTAATTTTGGTTATGATTAAAATTATTTCCCATTTTAGTGGTATTATTATTTTGCCGTATTTGATCAAATCGTAAGTTGTTTCCCCGATATTTACTTTCATTTTTAAATCCATTAAACCTATTAGCGAATTGAGCACGGAAGTTGTTTGATTCTAATTCTTGGACCTTTGCCAAAGCATTGGGCAAATCTGGTGGATTTAATGAGAAAAGAGTTTCTGAAATAGATCCACTAAGTCCGGATATAAATACTCGTAGAGCATTTCCCCTTATTGAATTGTTTGTTTCTTTGGTAATTACACTGTCCTTTCCGTATATCATTATGGTTTTGTTTATTAGTAAGGTCATTTTTTTATTGACTTCGTTATAGTACTCAGTAATTGTCATTCGTCCTTGCCTGAGGATACTTAGTTCTGACTCGAGAACATGTATTGGTCGTTTGTCACTATATATAAAGTCCAATCGGGATAAGATTGCTTTAAAGTTTAAAACTGTGCCATGATTGGTAAGAGCATCATGGGCAGCTCCCATAATTTTATTTCGTAAAATTGTTAGGGCGATAAAATATTGTTCACTTTCAATTTTATAGAGACTCATTGCAGTTTCTGCAGCTTCCCTCCAACCTACATATTGTGTTGCTTCCCCTGTGAAATTTGGTAAGGATTTTACCACTTCAAGTGTTGTATCGCATTTTATAGCTGGGTCAATTGTTTGTACTTTATAATCTTCCACAGTGTTTGCATCTGTGGCTAGCCTTCCTTCTTAACATTCTACTTTCCTGCTAACTTCATTCAATTGAGCGTTTATTAATCTGTTTATCAATTCTACTGTTAAACTGCCGGCTGTGGCTACACTGCCTGCAGAAAAATTTGGTGCTGAACCTCCGGTTGCCATTGTTAGATTTAGTTCACAAAAGCTATTTATCAAATCTTCCAGAATTATTCTTTATATTTTTTTGTTAAATCGCGAATCTTACTTTTTGCAATATATAAATCTTATATTATTTTTCTCGAATTTACAGGTCTTAAATTTTAGTCTTTAATTTTTTTATTTTAAATTAATTCCTCACGATATTGTCCCGTTGGGGTCTTCCTTCTGTGTGGTTGGTGGTTGATAGAGAATGTCCTGTCTTCCTTCCTTGGGTTTTTTTGTTGGAGCGAGTTGTCGTTTTTATTTGAGAATGTCCTGCCTTCCTTTCCTGGTTTTTCTTGTTGGAGTTGTCGTTTTATTTGTTTTTGTTGTTCTTGTTTGTTTTTTTTGTTGTGCGTTGATTTTTTTTTAGTTTTTGTGTTCTTGTAATTGTTTGGTTTAAAATTTCGGTCCACCTTTGTTTTAATTCACTCTTTATGGATTATTACATTAATTAATTTCCATTTACTTTATTGTTAACGATCACTGTCACTTGGTAGTGTCGTTTGGTGGATGTTTTAATTTTTCCACTAAAAATGTTGAGTTGTTGACCGCGCGAGTTCCGTTTATGTTTAACTTATTTTTCATTAAACTATTTTTTGGAGCTTTATGTGACGCGGCCCCTTGAGTTGGGCGCCAGTTAAATTGTTTGTAGTTCGGTGAATTAAAAAAATGAAAATTTTATTTTTTGATTTCACAACTTGGTGTTAAACCTTTATTTATTAAACGCAAAAATTACAAGACACTTTTGGTTTTTCTTAAATACTTTTGTCAACCGTTCGCGGTCTCGGTCAAAATAGGACTGACTTCTTAATTCTAAATCTGATCCAAAGAACCTCGGCCATCAGTTGTGTTTAGATTAGAGGCTTAAGATGAAACTGTCGCATCTTATTGTGAAATTCGATTAAGCTGATCGATGCAATTTGGTGGGTACTTGAAACGCAAAAGGCGTAATTGATTGGGCTTCGGAGGGAAGCTGATGTTTACTTTTGATTTTGATTTGTTTATGGGGAACCGAGATCGCGCCTCAGAGCCAAAGACAAAGCCGAAGGCAAATGCAGAGTTTGAAAATATTGTTTATAAAATTCATAAGTGGAAAGCCATAAGTGGCCTGGATTTATGGGTTGGATAATTGAGCCAAAGATCAAGCCAAAGGCAAAGGATTTGTTTATGGGGAACCGAGATCGCGCCTCAGAGCCAAAGACAAAGCCGAAGGCAAATGCAGAGTTTGAAAATATTGTTTATAAAATTCATAAGTGGAAAGCCATAAGTGGCCTGGATTTATGGGTTGGATAATTGAGCCAAAGATCAAGCCAAAGGCAAATGCAGAGATTGAAAATATTGTTTATAAAAGCCATATGTGGCCTTTATTTAGGGGTTGGATAACTTACATACATGCGTACATATATCCATCTAAATACCGTGATGCACCTGTGCTTCATGGTGTATACGCACTTGGTGCTTTCTTCTAATTTATTTCTCTATATTGTGTCTCTTAAGCCTTCGCGTCCTCTACATCTCGGCACTTTAGTTCACTCACGTGTGCCCTCTTCTCTTTGTTCGTGCCTCCGTGTCGTAAAATGGCAATCACCGGCGACACGAAATCCACGACCGTGTAGGGTCCGTCATACCGTGGCGCTAATTTCGCCGTGAATCCTTCTGCCGCCTTTGACAAATGGTGCTCCTTTGCCCACACTGTCTCCCCGACCTTTGGACTCCACTTCCGCCTCCTTAAATTATAGTGCCGGGCCTGGTCCTGGGCCGCTCGCTCCATGTTCCTCCGCACTATCTCAAAGACTTCTTTTAGCTTTGTCGCATTCTCGGTTGGCGTGCCTTGCCCCCCTCCTGTGCCTAAAGCATTTTCGTCGAACAGGGCTTGCGGCATCCTTGGCTCCCTGCCCTGGTGAATACCCCGTGAACTCCGACACTGCCGAGTTTACTGCCAGCATTAGCTCTGGCCAGTGCTCGTCCCACGCCCTTTGATCCTTAAGGAGTAAACTGGGCGATCATCGTTTTGACCGTCCTATTAGCTCTTTTCGTGGGATTCTCCTGCGGTGTGTAGCTTTAACTTTTTAAAGCTACGGCTGGTGAACTGTACGCCATTGTCTGTCACCATTATCTTTCGTACTCCATACCGAGCGACAATCCTTTCTCGGATCGCTTTTTGTAGCGCCTCGGTTGTTGCTTTTCGCAGTGGCACTATCTCCGTCCACTTCGAGAACCGATTTATCATCACCAGGACCATTGTGTTTCCATGCTTCGACCTGGGCAATGGACCCACAAAGTCCGCGCATACAGTTGCCCATGGTTCCTCCGGGACCTGCATCAGCATTTGTCCTGCTGCTTGCATCTGGCATGGTTTGTATTTTAGGCAAGTTTCGCATCTCCTGACATATTTCCGGATCCTCTCTGCATCCCTGGCCAAAACTATCTGGCGGCCACTCTGGCTATTGTTTTCCTCAAGCCTAAGTGTCCTGCTGTTGGTGCGTCATGATTCTCTTTGAGGACCTGCTGCCTTGTCTCCGTCGGCACACACAACTTCCATGACGCCACTTCCTCGCTTCCTGCTCTATGCGGTAGAGGCGGTAGATTAAACCGCCCTCTTCGACGTAATCCGGGAACTTCTGCGGACTTGTCTTCATTTTCTTTTTCAACGCGCTTATCCACACGCATTCTTTGATCTCCGCCTCCGTGGTACTTTTTAGTTTCTCCAATACTGGCTGGCGGGATAGCGCGTCGGCGACTACGTTGAGTTTCCCCTTCCGGTAGCTGATGACGTAGTCATATTGTTGCAGCTCGAACACCCATCTCGCTATTCTTCCCAGCGGGCTCTCTATGTTGTTGAGCCACTTCAGCGCCATATGGTCCATGATTACGTCGAACTGGTACCCCTCCAGATAGGGTCTCATCTGCCTGATCGCCCATACTATGGCTAGGCATTCTTTCTCCGTTGCCGAGTAATTTTTTTCAGCTCCAATCAGCGTTCAACTGGCGTATGCGATTGGATACGCCACTCGTTCGCCCTCCTCGGTGTCCTGGGTCAGGACCGCTCCGACGCCGTAGTCGCTTGCGTCCGTTTGCAGCACGAACCTTTTCTCAAAGTCTGGGCACGCCAGTACTGGATCTTCCGCCAGCCGTGCCTTTAGGGCCTCGAACGCCTCCTGGTGCTTGGGGGTCCATTCCCATTTCGTCCCCTTTCGTAGCAGATCGTTCAAGGGCTTCGCGATTCCTGCGAAATCTGGGACGAACCGCCGATACCATGACGCCATCCCGATGAACTGCCGTACTCCTTTGACGTTTGTCGGGGTTTTTAGCTCTGTAATCGCGGCGACCTTTCCCGGGTCCATGCCGGGTCCTTTCTCTAGAGGGATCTGCCAATACTCGTCCTTCAAGTCGAGGCTGCTGAAGAATCTGGCCTCCCTTAGTTGCTCCAATATGAAATTTATTCGTGGCATTGGGTACGCATCCTTTATTGATTTTGCGTTGATCTGTCGAAAGTCTACGCACATCCTCCATTGACCCGTCTTCTTTTTCACCATCACAATGGGTGAACTGTAGGCGCTATTCGAAGGCTCGACGCATCCTTTTTCCAGCAGCTCCTCTGCTTTGAACTTTTCGTAGCTCGGAGCAGAGCAGACAATTTTCTTTTTTCTGCTACGGCTCTGCTCCCGCTCTGGAAAAGTGAGAGCTGTAGCAAGAGCAGAGCAATATTTCTGTGCATCTCGCTGCCACGGAGTAGTAAATGCAAACCCTGCTTGGAACCCTCCAAAATGTCTCGGTTGCATTTTTTGTATTCTTGTCATTATTATTAAATTTCTCTTAATATGGGTTTCGTTTCGTTTCACCCTACTCCTCTTAATAAAACATGAATTTATTGGGGTCATTTTATTTTACTTATTAATACGGTAAGTCGATACATTTTTGGCATGCTACTCCTCTAGTTAAAATTATTATTTTATAATACAACTAATAATATAATAATATATACGCCATACGCTAATACGCCAAGGCGTTACCCGTCTAGCACGAAGTGTAGTAAATTGCGCAATTTCAATTTCATATATAACTAAAATATACATTTTAGTTTGACACGGCTATAAAATTAAATTCCTTTTATACATATATATTTCAATAAATGAAATTGTGCATGCCACAAGAGGCGTTTTTTAAACTTTTTAATATTAAATTACTCGCTGCTAGATTCCACTCAACGGCTTAGACGATTTTCGATTTACAGATTCCAGATAAGCAGCCGGGACCCAGCCTTCTGCATTTCCTTTTGAGAAAAAAACATATGAAAATTATTAAAAGTATATACATATGAAATGTGTTGTATATTTACCTAAAACTCTCACATACCACCAGCCAGCGCATCCGATTTTTAAAAGTTCTATTGTATCACCTTCATGCATCGAAACTTCAGAATGTCCCGCAGCGGAATAATCGGCGAGAGAAATAAATTTACCTCCCTGTTTTATAAAAAAAATGTAAATTTATTTATGTTGCAGTAATAAATAACAAAATTATTTAATAGTAGAAACATATTTGCCACATTTTTATACCCTTGCAGAGGGTATTATAATTTTGTCCAAAAGTGTGCAACGCAGTGAAGGAGACATCTCCGACCCAACAAAGTATATATATTCATGATCAGGATCACCTCCTGAGTTGATATGAGCATGTCCGTCTGTCCGTCTGTCCGTCTGTCTGTCCGTTTCTACGCGAACTAGTCTCTCAGTTTTAAAGCTATGGACTTGAAACTTTGCACACATCCTTCTTTCCTTTGCACGCAGTATATAAGTCGGAACGGCCCGGATCGGCCGACTATATCCTATAGCTGCCATATAACTGATTGATCGGAAATGGTATAACTTTGGTGTTTTTAGAGTAAGAGAGTTCAAATTTGACATGAGACAAAACATTACGACATGCCAAATTTCATAAGGATCGGCCGACTATATCCTATAGCTGCCATATAACTGAACGATCGGAAATGACCCAACTTTCGTGTTTTTGAAGATAGAAAGCTGGAACTTGGTACAGATTCAATTTTTGGTCAGTTAATCCGACCTACCAAATTTTATAACGACCGGCTGACTATATCTTATAGCTGCCATACAACTGAACGATCGGAAATGGTTTTTGGTAGAAATAGCAACTTTGGCATGTTTGAAGATAGAAGTTTGGGACTGTTTTTAGATTTTGTATTGTAATAAATTGGATTATATATTCATATTCCCATAAGGATTGGGCAACTATATCCGAGGTTTGCGATATGAGAGAATATCATATATCTCATATATCAATATCTCTCGCTCGGAGCAGAGCAGAGCAGACAATTTTCTTTTTTCTGCTACGGCTCTGCTCCCGCTCTGGAATATCAACAAAAACGGAAAGCTAACTTCGGGCGGAGCCGAAGTTAATATACTCTTGCAGTTAAAACCTTATATATATCGCAAACCTCGGATATAGTTTGCCGATCCTTGTGAGAATATCATAATATAACCAATTTATTACAATAAAAAAATCTACAAAAAAAGTCCAAAGCTTCTGTCTTCAAAAATACCAATGTTGTTATTTTTACCAAATACCATTTCCGATCATTCAGTTATATTGCCGCTATAAGATATAGTCGGCCGATGGTAGTTCGGATCAACTGTCAACAAATGTTAGTTTCTTGTAGACAAATTTTATCCTTATTGATTAAAAAAAAATGAATATGTATTTTTTTCAGAAGCTAAAACATTTAACTATTGTCGAAAATTTTTAAATCGGTTTACAATTACGCGTTTTGGAATTTTTAAGCGAAAAAATGTCCCGAAAAACGTTTTTTTTTCGATTAATTCAAGATATTAAGGGTTTTACGAATAATTCAAACCTGGTTTTGTGCTATATTCGACCTAATAAACAATTCCTACTAGGTCTCTTTAAAAGTTCAAAATCACTGTCGCACTGTGTTGTCATCATCAGCACTAAGCACTAACCTTGACGGGATTGTGTGAAATAATTGATTAATAAAAAATTGTTGTAGAATCCACACAAGAGGTTTTTAAAAATAAAAACTTATACAGGCAAGGAATTTTTAACCAATTAACTACTCGGAATGTATTATTTTTTTAACGCAGTTTTATCTCTCTTATTGATCAATCGAACATTTTACAAAAAAGTTATGTTTCATTACTGATTAAAAAAAAAAGGTAAGGTTGTAATTTTTTTTTTGAATCACTTTAAAAAGGAATGTGTTGCAAAGTAAAATTAAAGTTTAATTTCAGTGGAAGTATCTTGTGTGGCACCCTTAGTAGTTTAATTTGTTATAAGTTGAATTCGCGCAGCAAAAACCCAGATATTAATTGTACGTCTTACGTATAGCAATTCAAAGCGAGAGGGCAAAAGACATACATTTCAAAAAGGCGGGGGCGAGATCGGTGTCCGTCTTACATATACAATGGTCAAACTCGGATAGCCTTTATTTAAGAGTAGGTAAGAAGACTTCACTTCTCAAAATTGACGAAGATCAGTCTGCATCTAGCTTTCTTTGAGTTCGGACGTTTACTTTTTCCCTCATGTCGCCTCTCTTTTGCACCGAGTGCAGTGCAGAAGTTACTGCTACCCAACTTCGTGGGTGTGAGACCGTTCGGTGCGCGTCGATTTGCCGGCGTGCCTACCACACCGCTTGTGTGCATTTGCCCTCGATGGCTATAAAACTACTTATAAACATTCTAAACTTAATGTGGCAATGTGATAGCTGCGTCATTGGAAGAAGAAGCGGAGGAAGAAGCGGATCAACCCTAATAGGCGCATTGTGGGACAAGCACCCAGTTGCGCTCAGCTTCAAGTGCTTCCCACCTTAAAATATCTTCATGTTGGTAAATTCGCGACGTCTACCCAACCAGATGCACTGTGCAAGTTTGTCGCAGATAAGCTGAACGTGGAGCCGAGTTATGTAGCCTGTGCTAGAATGATCAAAAAAGATGCTGACATCAACGCCCTCAAGTTCGTCAACTTTAAATTGGGAGTTCCGGAGCAACATTTCCCTAGTCTTCAATGATGATTTTTGGCCTATGTCGGTAAAAGTCAGCCGGTTTGTCCGTAAAGAGCCTGCTAAGGTTATTGACCTCCTGGCGGTTGTACCTTTACCGCAATCGCAATCTTCAAAAAACCCTCAGTAAGCGGCGCCGCTGGCGCCGTTACTTCTTATTCTTCTCAAGCATTAGTTTGTCCCCCGACTGCTCTCTGCTGCACTACCAACAACGAACGGCGTGGGCGTTAATGGGCGTCTTCAATTCCTCCAATAATTTGCTTCGTTTGCTGATCGATATTCTTCAACAACAACAATTTTTTTTCTAGGCGAGTTGTTTACTTCTTATCTTCACTTGTGGATGCCCAGCAACAACAAGACGTTGGTAATCGAGACGTTGGCAGCGCATCGCTGCTCATCTTATCTCTTTTCGCCGGGCCACTCGCTGGTCCTTTTTTTTCGCCAAAGGAAGATGTTTATTTACGTTTTGGTCGTGTGGGTGGATCTTTGCTGCGTTTGGATGTGCCTGACTATGAACGCTTAATGTTTTCAACTGGCACTGGATTTGCCTTGCAACTGGACTCTCGCAGGTCTACTGATGAGTCTAATGGAAATTTCTATGTGTCCTCGTCGGCTATTTTGCGAGCTTTGCGTATTGGATATGCCTCCACATGCACCAGTACCAGGAGTGCACTTTCATCATTGCCGCCGTGCCGTCCAATTTCCAGTTTGGACTGTAGCTACTCGTCGTCCTCGGACCGCAAGAAAAGCCTTAAAGTTCTATTCCAAAATATATCGGGAACCAAGTCCCGGATTGTATTCCTCAATTCTTCTGCCTGCGTTTTTTATGTAATCATTCTTGTGGAAACGTGGCTCAATGACAAATTTAGCTACTCTGAGTCCTTCGAGCCTAACTTGTACCATGTATTTCGAAAAGACCGAGATGCATTCAGTACTCAGTGTGGGCGAGGTGGTTGTGTGATCATCGCTATCTGTCGATCTCTTCAAGCTACACCACTGCGCCTTCCGGTGACCGACCCTCTACTGGATCAGCTTGCCGTTTCAATCCAGGGCGCCCAAGGCCTGTTCGTCATCATTGCCGCCTCATCATACATCGGACCCTAACGCTTTGATGGTAGCTGGCGATTTCAACCTAAGCTCCATTGTCTGGTCTTGGGACCCAGAATCTCCCTGCATGTTACCTAACAACGTTCACCAGAGTCATGAAGTTGTAGTTTTAGATGATATTTTTAGTTTGGGCCTCTCCTAAGTAAATAATATTTTTAATGATTTATCCAAAACTCTTGATCTTAGTTTTTTAAATAATGTGGTTAATAGTAAAGTAGAATTATGCAATTTACCATTTAGTCCGTGTGCACTACAAGCCATTAGTAATTCATATTGAGTTTTATAGTTTTTTGCCTTCTGCTTCACCCATTCCATATTATCATCTCAATGATACTAACTTGTCACTTATTAATGCCTCTATTTCAGCCTTTGATTGGGTTTCCACTTTTTTCGGATGGTTCAATCGATGATTGTAATACTAAGTTCTTGGTTTTACTTTTTAATATTATTGATACTTATGCCCCTGTGAGGGTACGAAGATCCTATAGGCTTCCCTGGTATACAAAAGGTTTAACCTTTTTAAAAACTTTTAAAACTTAAAGAATAGAAGGGATAAGCATTACAAACGATTTATAATGACAGGGGAGTCTCGAGCAGGAGAGCTGTACCGGCAATTTAGGCGGGAATTTGATTTCCTTGATAAGTTCCTCTACAATCAGTATATATCCGATGTCGAAGCTAGCCTTCGATCCAATCCTAAAGCTTTTTGGCGGTTTGTTAGCAGCAAAAGTCAAAATCGGACATGCCTTCATCCATTGTTATGGTAATTTAGCAGCCGAGTAGGATCAGGGCGTTTCTGATCTTTTGCAAAATACTTTGCCAAAAGTATGGCTTAAAAGTATCATAAAAGTAAAAGTATCATAAAGCTTAGAGGCCCAGACGACCGAGGGGCGCTCGAGAAACGATTTGTTAGTACGTATTAAGCTATTTGTAATTTGTTAAGCTAGGAGGAGTTAGTAAGAAAATGTAAAATTCTATATTTTAAATTAAAGGGACAGGAAAGAGATGTTATAGAGTAAGGACCATTGTAGTTCGAACATAATACCCTAAAAGGGTCATGCAGTGCATATGTCGAACTACAATGGCTAAGGAACAGAGGACTAAAGTTTCGAGTCCTTCTATTAGAAATGTTAAATTTTAAACGTGTTAGTAAATGCTGGCTATCTACATCCCCGTTAATAAGGTTATGCAGAAAAACTACACCGAGCATTGTCCTACGATTTGTTAAGCTAGGTAAGTTTATAAGTAAAAGTCTGCTACTGTAGGATGGAAGCTGAAGATTTGCACCTCTAAGTGCAAATATTAAAAAGTTCTTTTGTACGG